AAACGGACATGCCACCGGAATCCAGAAAGGTAACTCGGGGTTTTACGGAGGGGGATTTAGTGTATGCCCTTAATCACGCGGGGGAGCCGAAGTGGGTGAAAGCGACCATCATCTCTATCGCCGGGCCCAGATCCTACGAAGTTCGCGTGGAGGACAACCGGGTTTGGCGGCGCCACCTTGATCAACTGAGGGGCCGAATTGGGGTCGCTGGGTTACGCCAAGAAAGCGTGGCCGACAACACGGGCGGGGCCAGAGACAACGGCGGGGACGAGTATTGGCCATTGGTTCCACCCATCAGTCAACCACCTCGAGAAGTGAGACCCATTGCAGCGGCCCAAGGACAACCACGCAGAGGGAAGAGTACCGAGGCAAGAGCTGAACCGAGTCACACAGTTCCCCGCCGATCAAGGACGATAGCAAGAACTTTGAGGGGAGGGGTGTTGTGTTCTTTTGTATTCCCCCCCTTAATCCCCTATGCGCATCCTGATCACCCATTAAGGGTGATTGCCCTTCTCCATCTGCATACAGTTTCATGACCGTTGCTGGTTGGCTAACTCGCAACGGGGTCTTACCAGCCAATGGAATTGTGTGATTACGAGCCAGGGGAATCCCATAAAAGAGGGCTCCCCTGGCCCAGATGGCAGTCCGGATTTACTTTATGCCTTGCCAATAAACCGAGAGCTGACTGTCACTCGACTCGTGTCTTACTCCCTGCGCGATCTAACACAACCCCATCTGCCTTTGTCAACCGGGCCAGGGATCAAGGCTTATGAAAATTTTAGTCCAAAATAGTCTTTCAAGCTAAGAAATGCTACATCAGTGTAGACCTTGGGAGATACTGCCTAGGGAATAATCAGACAAAGACAGCATGGCCTGCAGCTGGATAATTTCTTAGGCTATAAAGAAGATGGTGGGCGTATTGTACTTTTAGACTTGCAAGATTTTGTTAATTTAGCTTTACAGTAAAGTAGAATTAGCTTATCTTGTTGTGTTTCCTGTCTGGTCTAGTTGGTAAAGCTGACAATCAGCTATTGAGAAAGTAATAGATACCTATGAGGTCTAGAATGCATCATGAAGAATGTTTCCGGTTATTGTGGTGATAACTGAGTTTTTATCGAAAAGCGTTTGTGATTCTTTATGTGGCATATTTGGAATCCTTTCTACTATCTGGGAGAACAAGATACTTTTCTGTGTTTTGAATTAGATATTGAAGAATTTCAATAAAGATTAGGTGGCCTACTCTTTCTCAAGGAAATTGCTTCAAAGTGATTGCTTCAGTTTGCTCTTATTAATTTCCCCTCCTTCAGAGTGAGGTGATGGTTCATATCCTNTTATCTTATCTTATCTTATCTCATCTTGTCTCGTCTTATCTTGTCTTGTCTTATCTATAATGTTAAGTTCTTTCTAGTTCCTCTGTGTCCAACCTTCAAAGTCTCAATTTACCATTTTTAAATTAACAGCATTTTCCAGAGGAAGATTTCTTTTATTTAATTTCAAAATCTTCAAATATTCTAAATAATAAAATTTATTTTGGTGAGGATTGAAGAAGAATCATCCAGTGTAATCAAACTTGCTGTTCTGAAGGATCCTGATATCCAGAAAGCAGTTAACAATTTCCAGAATGATTAAAAAAGGAAGTTTGTTAATCCACTGTCCATACAGGGAGTGACAGTGGCTTTTGCAAAGAGGGCAAACTCTTAGCACCCAGGACTCTAAATTTGTCAGAGACCACTATCTTATAGTTTCATCATGGAGAACTGTTGCTTGGAGTGCTTGGGGATGATTCTTTTTGTTCAGAGATAAATTCTAAATTCCAAGTTTGCCATTGCTTCTCTGGAAGTTTCTTAAGTCCAAATTATTCAATGCTAATAATAATCAGGATAATACATATAGCAAGATAAATCTGTCTTGAATGTAGATGGAAATTAATTTTTTAAATGTAGATTAGCAATTATCTTGCAAGTCAATATTTATGTTAAAGCAGATTCCAAAAATTCTAAGCAGATGAAATGTTCAGGTATCTTTACTGTATTACTATATTACTGTACTTTACTCTATTACTTTACTGTATTAAAGGAAGGAGTAAATTGAAGAGAAAGTCCACAAAGTTATAACAAAATGACATAATCCACACAAATAACAAAAATATTGCTGTACGTTTCAGATAAAATCTTGTCATAGTGTAAAAAATTAAAGTGTCTGAGAATTCCCAAAGAATGACCAAATACTATAGACTTGTAAATCTGCTAAGTACAGCTGTAGATTTTTTTAATCAGTGTAATTGCTATCATATCTAATTGCTAATGAACATTTATAAACTTTTGAACTAATCCCTGGGAACATCCTCTCTCAAAAATTAGTCCTTCTGCCATATTGTCAGCAGTTAACAGCTAAGTATCTTTGCAGTCAGGAGGGAAACAGATCTCATATCTTCCAAAAAAAACTATCTTCATAGTGTTTTCATTATAATCACAGATAGAATTGTATCTTTGAAAACTTAGTACTCGGAATATGGAACAGGAGAGAATATGGTTAAATATCACAACTGTAACTATCTTTCCATGGATACATTTCCAGAATTCAAGAGAAAGTAATACACAGCAAAATAAAAAAGAAATACTGATCACTCACCAGAGTGTTTCTACTACACAGTCTGGATGTTGGAGCCCCTCACACAGCAATTCCACTGCTCTCTCATCTGTATCCTTGAGGAACAACGTTAACTCTTTCAATTTCTGGTTTTTCCTGAAGACTTCAACAAGATGCCTGCTGCAGGACTCTGTGAAGGACCATCCCTCAAACCTGAAAATACAGCAACTCTTCAGAAGAATTCAAATTATACCTTCTAGTTAGTAATATAATATATAAAAATAGATGGTACAGACAATAATAATTAAAAACAGTTATAGGTAGTCCTCGCCTTATGACCACAATTGAGCCCAAAATTTATATTGTTAAGTGAGAATGTTGTCAAGTGAGTGTTGCCCCATTCTAGGATCTTTCTTGCCACGGTTGTTAAGTGAATCACTGCAGTTGTTAAGTTAGTAACATGGTTGTAAAATGAGTCTGGTTTCCCCATTGACTTTGCTTGTCAGAAGATCACAAAAGGGGATCACATGATCCCAGGATATTGCAAGTGTCATAAATATGAGTCAGTTGCCAAGCATCTGAAATTTGATCTTGTGACCAAGGGACTGCTGCAACGGTCGTAAGTGTGAAAAATGGTCATACGTCACTTTTTTCAGTGCCGTTGTGACTTCAGTCACTAAATGAACTGTTGTTAAGTCAAGGACTACCTATAAAATAAAACAATAGTTATGGGTAGATAATCAACAAATGTAAAGTATCATATGGTTAGATATTGACACTACATTAAAAGTATCCTATAACTAATATGTAGATTATATGTCAAAGTAAAAAATAAATTCTAGAACGCAAATCTTGGGTTTGGCACATTTCATGTGTGCAGTTGTAATCTAAAATGTATTGCAAATAGAATGGAATTCTAAATCTAATTTCCTTTTAAAATAAGAAGCTAACCTAGACATTGAAGTATATTCCCACAAGTTGGTTAGCCATTGTTCATCAGAGGGGATCAAACATCATTTTCAGTAAAGAAATATATAAAATTCTTGTAACTTTTAACATAATCTTAGAATTCATATTTTTAAAAAACAGGTGGTTTAGTAACCCTTAATAAAAAATATCTCAGAGTGAAATGAGATTATGACTTTCAAAATTTGTTCCAGTCTACAATGGATTGTTTACCAGTATTGTTGAAGCATGAAATATCGCCACCACATATGGAAGAGGGATTGAATCTTTTCATTACATTTTTAGCATTTCAGAGGAAAAGTGTTACTGATTTTCACAATCGTGATTGCAGTAATATATTAGTGGCAAAACATCTTACACGAAATATCTCTTTAGTTTATTGTTCAAGGTAAATTTAATATTCTATTTCCACTGAAATTTCCATTATCCCATCTCTGTAAGTGTGTTTGTGTGTGGACATGTGTGCTTAGATGTGCTTAGGTGAAATTGTCCTGAAAATAAAATCTACGTTGCAGGAAAAAAATTAATAAAAGGAAGGCTACTTTGTTTGACTGAGCATAGATAAAGGAGGACAAGAGGGATTACCAAATATTTATCAAAAAATGCAAAACAATTACTGAGCTTAGACTCCAATTAAAACTAGTTGACTAGTTGACACTGGGAAGCTTTAGTTCTGCCCCTTTCAATTACATCTCTTAACCCACGTACAGAACAGCCAGCCACAGGATTGTTTATTTCCTGGTGCAGCCCTGAGCTTTCTCCTCATCTTCATATTCAAAAATGCCATACAGATTGGACTATCAGAACATGGGTGCTTTATGATGTTGCTTTAAGGAAACAACAATTGGAATGGTCCTCCTGTGATGATGGATAACTGCCCTGTGCAACCCAGGTCTAACTTATGGCTGCTAATATGAGTGAGGTTAGAGAGAAGGCCATGGTTGTCATAGAGACCATAAAATCTGGAATAATACTAGATCTCATCCCCAAGACCTGGAGCACTCTTAGATTGGGGATTCCACCACAGTCAAGCCATGAAATCCAAGCAGTACTGCTGGGCAGCAACCATCCCCGGCCTGTCACTACAAACTCATGTAACGACACTTACAACCAGGTACCAACGAAGAGACGCAATTGCTCCTTGCCAAGGTGCCATGTACAATTGTTCCCGAACCCTAACCCTAACCCTTCCCTAACCCAGGGATCTTGGCTGATGAAAGAACAAAACTGGGTAAAGAAAAACTGTATCCAGGTTACTGTCTGCTAAGGCTTCTTTTATAGCAAACGGGGCTGGCAGTGGAATACTTGGAAGGAATAGGACTGAAGGCTGATTGTTAAGACTTATTACTAAGATTTATTGAAAATGAGAAAATAACATAAAAACCCAATGAGTAGTATTTACTTTCAGATGAGGATTTCTATATATGTTACTCTATAAGTTTGGTTGCTTTTTCATGTATTTGTAATGAACTGAAGAAGGACTCTTCCTCTTTGGAAGGCAGCTGGAAGAAATATGGTGCCCAGCCTCATTTCCTCAGTCTTTCTGCCACCAATTCCACGTTGACCAACTATCCAAACGGCCACTCTAATTCACTCCATCTACCAAGAGCAGATTTCTATTTGCCAAGCACTTCCATTGATCCAGCTATCAATTCAACCCATCCAACAGGGCGCAGTAGCCTCTTTATTAACCTTCAATACCCCCCCAAATCATAATGAACAAACCACTCTAAACCTTGTCTTATGAAGCCACAAAAACAGGTGGGAGAGCCCTGTCCCTCTCTTTTCTCACTTCAGAGCAGGCCCTGACACTATGACCCTGCCTCTCATCAAGGAATTCCCATGAAAATACTGTACTCTTTTCCTAACTCTGCTTCCTTATCTCTCAATGTCAGTTATAACTCAGTTCCATCCTAGGCTTCAGGAACCCCCAGTAAAGCATTCTTTATTGTTGACCATGAGAAATTAATGAGAGATTTCTGTAAAAATATTTAGGTTAATATGCAAACCTCTAATACTATGTAGTGGTTTCTTTATCAATAACATCTAGAATAAAATTCTAGCAGTTTCTTACCTGAGGACACTTAAGTTTCTCAGTTTGGTCAGTGCTTTAAAGAAGTCTTCCATATATCTTTCATCCAAACTCCATTCCCTAAAGGGGAAAGATATTTTTGCTCTTCAGACTTTCGTGTCAGTGTTTACAGTTCCTTTGCAAATATAATAGGCACTCCAGTCCATTTGAAAAGTAATCACAAAAAATGCATTCATATTGCAGTATGGGAAATTAGAAGTAGAAAAAAGACCATTTCGTAAATGAAATGGTTACAGGTAGTCCTTGACCAATAGCCATGTTGGAACCTGACCATTATAGTCAGAAGTTGTGACAGCCATTAAGTGAAGCTCCCATGTGATTGTCTTACTTACATCCCCCTACCCATGCTCTCCCCAAAATGTTTGTTAAATAAAGCACAGGGTGCACCAGGGGCTTGGTGAGAGGCCCTGGGAGGCCTAGTGCAAGCTCTGCCATGGGTCATATAAGGCCTCCCCACTACTGAACCACCCCTATGCTCTGCTTCCCTGCAGGCTGTGGGCCTGCTTCCCAACCCACTGGATCTCATATGCTCTTCCCTACCTGCCATCACAAATCACTCACTTATCTTTGTAGATTTCCTTCTGAAAGCTCTGGAGGTAGCATTGGCGACATCTTCATAGCTATCCATAGTGCTCTGTAGATCACATTGGAGAACAAGCTGCTCTGTCCCTAGGCTATATGGTCTGCTTCTGGAAGCAAGTGCTTTTTGGGGGGATTGTTGCAATGAATTTTGGCTGCTGCAAAATGGTGCTCATTTCCAGGAGTGAGTCATGCAGCCTAGGGATGGAACGACTTGCTGTTCTTCTCCAATGTAATCTATGGAGCAGTGTGAAGATCTGCAGAGCTCACTGGAGATGGCACTGGAGAAGATGCACCTAATCAAGTCATGTCAACACATGGCACTCTATGGGAGCAGTCTGATGGGAGCAGCCATCAGACCCTCCAGCCTCAGAACCAAAGTTTAGTATTCAGACTGGCTCATGGATTCTCTGCTGCTTGGATGTTGTTCTGTTACAGGTACAAGAACGTTCTATTGATTAATTTCTCTCTTAGTCATTTGATTCCTGGCTATTAGCCCAAAATTTACAACTTGACAATACAGCTCCTCAAACTTACAATTGTCTGGCTTTCTATCTGCATCATCTGATCAGGACAATCACAGATGAGAGGAATAAATAAGGAGGAAATCCTTCCATTGCGAGCTGTAGTAAACTCACCCCTGTGGCTAAAGCAGGATAGGAGAATGAAATCTGGACAAAGAGCTCTTCAGCCAGCTTCACTTCCTACAGATAACAAGCAGCTAAAAACTACAATAAGATAATTATTCTGGTTTCCTTCTGTTAGAGAAAAAAAAACTACTTTGAAGCCAATGTCCACAAGAATGAAATAATTGAAAGCACTGCGACACTATAAAGCTTTATAGGAAAGGCCTTAAATGTTAATGTTGCAGTTTATTCAGTGTAACAATTTTCTCAACAAGATTAGAAAATGAGCCCTTTATAGATTCAGTGCTAAAGCAGAGAAAATATTTTCCAAGAACTGTGTCCAAGTCACACCACTAGAAGGAATTTCTTTCTCAATCCACTCCTCTTACTTAAGATGAAAAATGAGGTAGGGTTTAAATTAAAATCTCATACATAGTCAATCTCTATATAGTCAATCATTCTTAAAAATGACCTTGTTTTAAGGGAGATGCTTAAGACGTTCCCAATTATTACAGAAGCACCATCTTATGTTATCTACCATGTAAGATGGAAAGTTTTACATGCAATGAAACTTACAAATGCAATTCCATGGAACATTTTAGGGTATTGAATGTAGTTCTTTTTAATTAAAGGGAGAAACTCCCTGAGCTTAGCTATGGCCAAGTGAGCTTCCAATCAGCCTTTAAAGACTGTCAATATTGGGCAATGAATAAAATAATCAAGTTTTTTATTTGTTTATTTAAAACTGTTAAGAGTCTCTAGATCTCAGTAGTAATTGCCTCTCTGATCTTGAGTTGAGATGAGCACTTCCTATCAGGCTCTTTAAGAGCAAGAGGAATTAATTGGTGTTGGCCTCGTCAATGGTCAATTGCTCATTTTTAATCATCCCCCCATCCCACACAGCCCATCCCTTGTCTTCACTTCTAAGGATTGACAGCCCTCTTTAACTTAGCTGCCCAAAGATATTTATGCATACTTCTAAGTGGCATTTTTCTGGTTTATTATTATATTTGAGACTGTAGGTTACAGAATAGCGGTGGCAAGATCATAAACAAAAAGAATTGTTCAATAGATTTCCAAAAATACTTACTCTTTTTCTGGAAGAAATAATTCTGTCTCTGCATGATATAGAAATTCAGAACCTTTGACAAAGAGGTACTTTAAATTCTGGCAGTGTTGTATACAATAGCCCAGGATCATCAATTCCATATCTGAGTTGCACTGATAATCTATTTCAGTGCTATCACATATTGCATTTTTTATAAAATTGTCATCTTGTGTCTCATATAAATAATTAAACATTTCTTTTTGCAACTGGAAATTACGTCTCCTTTTTGTAATATTATTTTTTACACAGTCTAACAAGAATTCTTTATTCTTAGGAGAAATTTCCCATCCGAATTCTTTTTTCAACTCTCTCATTCTTTTTGCTTCATTTAAAAAACCAAAGAGGAAGCGAAATCCTACTGCAAAATCAGGCCTGAAAGATTTATGTCTTTCTAAAAGTGCTTGCAAATTTTTATTCTGATTTTCAGAATGCTGTTCATCTCCTTCTTCTAGCACATAAAACAAAGCAGCAAAAAACTCCTGGAAGCTTAAATGAATGAAGCTGAAGGTTTGAATACAATCAATGTCTCTTTTGAAGATGCTCTGATTCAGAAAAAGGGGGAGGAAGTTTCCATGATCCAAACTGTGCTTCTTGACTTCTTCTTTCATAAATAATGTTTTCTGTTTCCAAACCCCTTCTGCAGCCAAAGAGCATAACCCTTTCACATTTGATTGGACATCCTGTTTGGATTCTTTGTGATGAAACTTTAACAAACTAGAGAAATACAGCATATAGATTGCAGTGAGGGTATATGGTGTCTTCTGCAGATCCTTGCCTCTCTTCATCTCCTGTTTCATCACTGTGCAGATGATCCAGCTCACAAGGGGAATGACACACATGGTGAAAAGCGTATCACTTTGTTTAACGAATCGGAGAGCTTGAGTTGCTTGGTCTTCGTTTTCAAAAAATTTGTAGAAATATTTTTGTCTCTCCCTTGTGGAAAACCCCAATATCTCAAAATTGCGTGAGTGCTCTAGAAATTGATGGAGTTTCTCCAAAGCAGTAGGTCTTGTTGTGATTATAAGAGAGGATTTAGGAAGAAGCTTTTTTTGAAATAAACTGTTCAAAAGAATTCTCACTGGCTCCTTCTTCCAGGGATCAGTGCAAGAGGAATCTTTGGGCTGATCAAAGGAATCTTTGGGCTGATCAAAGGAATATCTGAATTCATCAAACCCATCAATTATGAACAGAAGCTTCTCTTCATTCTTCAGTATGTTTCCAATGACATTTTTCAATTCGTGACACTTGAGCCATTCTTCTGAAATTATCTCTGCAATGCTACTCTTCTCTGCCTCTGAATGGAGATTAAACTTTCTGCAGCAAATATAGAAAGCATAATTAAATTTGTCCTGGTAAAGTAGTTGAGAAGCCCAATCAAGCATGATTTTTTTGGCCATTATAGTTTTTCCAATTCCTGCAGCTCCTTGTAACACAACAACTTGTGGAATTAATCCATATTTATCAGGATTAAATAATGTTTCAATGCTGGCTGAAGACTCGGCTCTTTTGCTGATGATTTCAAAATGTTTCCTTCCTATTGCCAGAATTTCATCTTCTCTCTCCTCTTCAGATGGATGATAATCTAGGATGATTAGCTTTGAGTATCTCTGCTTTAGGGGTACATATTCACCAGGAACAGCATTAGGATCTTTCATTGTTTCAAACTTTTTTTTAATGTAGTTTCTGTATTCTAAAGGAAGAATGAATCAAATTAGAACCGTGAAAAATAAGGCCTGCACAAGACTCTGAATTAGGTCTTTTACCTCTGGATCTTTTCCTTGAAGCCACCTCCATCCACCCTCTGGATAAATGTGTTGAGGGAAGTTATAGGATACTTTGTTAATTGACTTCTCAGAACTGATGTCAATAGGCAAATACTTGTTAATCAGTACAGTAGGCTGGACTACGAGACCTCCAAGGTCGCTTCCAGCTCTATTGTAATTGACTGAATAATCCAGACCTAAAATTATTTTTTTTAAGTGGTGTTATATGGAAGATTTGGATAGATGCTTAGGTTTTTTATTTTAGACCAATTAAGGAATGATAATGATGAGATTTGATTATTTCTTTTGTTAAACGATAAATATCTTTTTACTTCGATGTTCCACTGGCAATAATTACAGCTATAGGTAGTCCTCATATATCAACTGCAATTGGGACCATCCTCTCAATCGGCAAGTGATGCAGTCATTATGTGAAAAATCACAAGACCACACTGGCTTACAACTTCAGGTCTAACTGGTTGTTAGCAAATCACCACAGGTGTTTAAGCATAATGTCATGTGACCATGGTTTGCAATTTTCTCCCAGCTTCCCCCTTGACTTTGCTTTTTGGAAGCCAGCTATAAAGATCACTAATAATTTGTTAAAATTTATTTGTTTAAGATTGCAAAAAAAACCCCTATTTATAGCCTCCATTAGCTCTATTGGAATTAGGACAGAAGACTTCATGTTGCTTATAATTCTGAAGAAGCTGTAATGCAATATAATGTAATACTAAACCTCTGCCCTGTTACGGCATCATTTTAGATAAATTTCCACACCTAAACAGAGAAACAGAATGACACAGGAGGGCAAAAAAGCAGTGAGAATGGGAGTGACTTTCAACTTCTTGCTGGCTTTTGGGAAGCTGACAGGAGCATTGGAAACCTTCCCTTCTCCTCCCCCTTCCCCTTCCCCTTCCCTTCCCTTCCCCTCCTCTCCTTTTTTATGGTTAGACTTGCAAAACCTGGAATTTTCCCCATCAAGATTTTTGGGACGATTAATATTCACAGTAGTGTGCATAGATGGGGAGGGAGAGGGGAGGAACTGCTCATGCTGAATTAGTTTTACATACAATTTCAACAATCCTTTGAATAATTTCTGCCTTACCTGATGAATCTACAAATTGGTGAGCATCAACATCTGCAATTGAAGATGAACTAGGATTAGTGAAATACACATTATAAAAATGGGTAAGTCATAGAGCATTTTTATAAAATAGGTAAACATTCCTCTTTCTCCTTTTTCTTTTACACACTTGAATGGCCCACTGTGGTGAAAATTACAGAAGTAACTGTGCCCTTTCCTTCTCTTAGAGTTCTTTGTTGCTTGGAAGAAGGAGATCTGCCATTAAACCAGGGGTGTCAAACTGCCGCCCGCGGACTGGATGTGCCACATGGAAGGCGTGCCCACTCCATTGCCGGCAATGGCAAAACCGGCCCGATACATTGCGCAACATCACGTGATGTCGCGAGTTTGACATGCCTGCATTAAACCATTCTCCTTGGTTTTAAGGCACTAAGCCAAAAGGATATTATGACCAATAATATCAAAGCCATCCACAGATCAAGTAGGATTAGGACAAATACAGTCCCCATGTCCTGGGACCATTCATAATTGCAATCAATACCACCTCATTGCTATATCTCTACCTGAAACCCAAGTCAATTATTTCCTCCACTGCTCTTCAAAGCTGCAAGTCTATCGTTTTCTGAAGAACCTTCCCTAAAAAGGGAGGTTTGCAGACTAGACCAAAATTGTCCACTGCCATTAGGACCAGTGATGGCTCATAAGGAGAGGGTGATCTGTCACTTCCTTTTGAGCAGGTGGAATCACCCTCTCCCATCAACAATCACTTTCCATCTTTTGGATTCAGCTACTTGTGGTCTCCTTGGAGGCCTTAACCAAGCAGAACAGACATGGATATAAAAGAGGGCAGGATTCACCCACCCAGCCCCAAAGACCCCAGCCACATCCTCACGGCTAACTGGCTCAAACGTTAAGACAAGTTGGCTTGTGCAATGTGCAGTGGGTGACTGACAGTGTGGGAGAATTTGCTGAGGAATCCATAGAGTTGGAATCTGAGTGAAGCAGAGAAGGGGCATATTGCAAAGTTTGAAATCAGGTTACTAATAAGAAAATATCAGAAATTTTCTTCTTTTTATATAGCAAAGCTTCCCTGTCAGGAAGGAGAATACTTAGTTCACCTTAGCTGCCTCCTATTAAAGTAGAGCTGACCTGTCTCTTCACCTCCTTCTTCTGGAAGGCAAGATGTGCATCTGAATGCTCACTGACTATGTCAGCAGGGTCCCCTAATTCCTTGTGCAGTACCCCGCTCTTCATGACTATATTTCTATCCCAATTTTTTTTCCCCTATGTGGATGGTGGAGGTAGAAATTCTCACCCTCCTGATGATCAGGTCTTTGTGGTGTTTGGTGTGTGTATCCAACATTACAGTCCTTTACCATTTACTCTCTAAGTATGTCTTAAATTTTGGAAATTTTGCATACTGTCTTTATCACATCATCAAGCTCAAAACTTGGATAATTTTTCCCCCCAATTGTATATATGTCTCTTTCAGGCATTAGAGTTTCAGACTGAGTGAGCTTTTCACAATATTTCAAATAAATGTAAACTGCGCTGAGCCCTCCTTCAAGAATGCTGCTGTTTCTGCATAGACCAGTCTGATGCCATCTAGTAGAGTTTCAGGCAAACTAAAGCAGCCATACGGGTTGCAACAAGGTAGAAATGGGATTTCTTCTTTGGATTAAGAATGGTTCTGGAACACTTCTTGGCTTTCCAATTTAGGATTCCTGATGTTGAAATGTGCACGGGGATTTTAGATATTTGGAGGCTGTCCTTCCCCAAAGTCAATTCTCAATTTCTTTCTGCTTGGGGCTCCTGCAAGATAATACTGCCCTTCTCTGTTCTCTGGCTCTACCCAGCATTACATGCCCTGCTCTCTTCCCTAATAGCAGAAATAGCATCACCACCTATAAGATACCTTAATATTGTATTATATCAGGAATGGTACTGGAAAAAAGGATGGACTAAATTCAACTTTTAAGGTTCTCCCTAAATTTAGACTAACTTCTCAATGACTAACTTATTTGGCTTGAACTTGGTTTATCAGTTTACTTTAATACTGATAGGAAAATGCCAAGCTGAGTGATAGTGCAGATGCTTCCCTTAGGTTTGATTTCAGGCACAAGACCTGGAATCTCAGACTAGGAGAAAAGCCCCACTCTGAAATTCCAGGAAACCACTGCCAATCCTAGTCAACAACAACAAATTGGTTGGACAAGATTCAGTGGGAAACAAATCACAAGGGTTTTTATTGCCACTTGATCTTAAGTGGAGAGGACATTTCTGTAATATGTTGGCCCAAAGGTGCGTTTTCAGGAAGCAACTGGACTTTCTTGTGTTTCTTTTGAAGATGTTTCGCTTCTCATCCAAGAAGCTTCTTCAGCTCTGACTAGATGATTGAGTAGATAGAGCTAGTCAGAGCTGAAGAAGCTTCTTGGATGAGAAGTGAAACGTCTTTAAAAGAAACACAAGAAAGTCCAGTTGCCTCCTTAAAAAAGCACCTTTGGGACAACCATACCTGCATGACTGAGAACCTCCATAGACATGTAATATGTTGGGTTTTCTTACCTTTCTGTCGAGCTTTTTCAAGGTTTTTTGCAAGATCTTTCCTATTGCATTTTAGAAGGACATCAATGCACACCTCTAGAGCATCTTCTCCATAATGTTGAATCATGAGATCTACAACATCTTGTTCATCAGCTTTGTCCAAAAAAGCTCTAGGAATGTTTTGCTCTCCAGCATAATTAATATGATTTAGCTTCCGTTTAAATTGTTTAAATTGCTTCTCAATGAGTTCACTCAATGCATTGTAAAGACATTCTTCCACAATGTTACTCATGTCAATTATGGATTACATCCAATCTAAAATTAAAATCAGAGAATTAAACTAAAATGGAAAACAAGCTTTGAAGGGAACAGTACTAAAGTTAAACTAGTTAGCACATTTCACAAACACACATCAGTTTATTTATGATTTCATTTGTACAGGTTTGTGCATGTCACCTATTTCATACATTCGAGGCAACTTATATTCCTAAAACATCCCGACCTGAGATGGCAAGCTGTAACCAAGAGGCTTATATCCTTCAGGGTTCCCCGTCCTTTTGCCTTGCACAAAATGGGCAGACAGATTCGCCTTTGAGTAACACATCCCTGTTTGGAGCCACTCTATCCGGAAGGTACAAAAACACTGCAAAATCTTTCTTCTAGAATCTAGATCATCAAAAAGGAGACCCTATAGATGTAGAGGAGGTTCTCTCACTATCCAATCCCATTTAGGTCATCCATAAGAGCAACCACTGAAGCTTCCATTCCTGAACACCGATCAGAAGAGATGCAGATATTCTGCTTCATCCAGAGCTCTCTGAAGGTGGGGTTGCCCCTTGCTAGACAGCTTCAAAGAGAAGGTGTATGCTCATCTGTCAGAGATGAAGTCTGAACTGAGAAGGGGATTGGACACAATGACCTTTATGATTGTAGCTGCATCCCACTGCCTTTGGTACAACCTTCCCTAAAATGGGCAGCTGACAGGATGATAATTATCTAAAAAGGCTGGCTGAAATGATGTCTTTATATATACAAAAAATATTTAAAAGAAATAGTTAAAAAAGAAGAAAGATGTGGAAACAATAGAAAGCAAAGGAAGAGAAGAAAAAAGACTACTTAAATAAGTGACTACCAATATTCTTTTTAATAATTATAAGCATATTTACTACCATTTCCTTCCTCCAAATTACATAATTCTGTTTTTATGTATGTATGTGTATATAGATAGGTGTATATATATGTGTATATATATATATATGTATATGTATAAAATAGATAAAAACTCACGATCACCAGGAGAATAAAAAGTTTAAAACTTTAATTTAAAACCAAGCTTTCGCTGGGAGCTCCCAGCATCATCAGGGTTAACAAGCCAGTCTATGGGTGTGCCTTAAGTAAGGTTGTTTGACATCTGCGCCCGGCTCCTAGAACGCGTAATTGGCCCCAACCAATTAGCCTGTGACCTAATTGTTCCTATCACACCTGCCACACCTGTTCTAGGAGCCGGGCGCAGATGTCAAACAACCTTACTTAAGGCACACCCATAGACTGGCTTGTTAACCCTGATGATGCTGGGAGCTCCCAGCGAAAGCTTGGTTTTAAATTAAAGTTTTAAACTTTTTATTCTCCTGGTGATCGTGAGTTTTTATCTATTTTATACTATGGATTTACCCAGGAGTCACATCTTCAAGGATATTATTGAACATATATGTATATGTGTATATAGATAGGGTTATCAGTCTTGTAAAAAAGTAATTGTTGTTCTTTCCCGAATCAAACAAGTCAATGTTAGCTGGTATTCAGAAAATTATTAGAGAAGGGCAAAAGGGAATATAGTGGACTAAAACCAAAATCCTCTGAAGAGATGTTGCAAAATTGGGGAAATTTATCCTTGAGAAGACTGAGGGTGGATAGAATACATTCTTTGCTTTTCAATAAATACTCAAACTGGAGTTTAAATTCAACAAATATGCAAATTGCATGGTTGTCTAAATAACACATCAATGTATGAGAAAAAGATATGGAAGGGACTCTCAAGGTTCTCCAACTTCTGATAGTGACAAATAAAGGAAGTTTAAGTGGACTTGGTTTAGCAGACTCAGATTCAATAGATAAAATATGGTGGCTAAATGTACAGTAACCAGTAATTATGATGACCCTACATTTGATATTGGTATTACATAGGGGGGGCAAGTATTGCTTTTGATTTTTATTAATGAACTTTGCCAAGTTATAAACGATTTGGGCTGCCTCATAAAATCCTTAAATAACTAAGAGTAAAGTCATGTAGGACTGTATTCTGGGCATCAAAAAATGCCATCTGCCATTTAATGGACTTTGGGTTTTTAGAACCCCCCCCCCTTTGCTCAGCTGCTCAATGTCAAACAGACGCCTCGAAGATTGAACAATGATGGAGGTCCAGATCTCTGCATCCGGCCCATAATGCCTTGCACCCTCCACCCACCGGGATGCTAGACCTCTTTTTTTTTCTTTCACAGTGGCACCTGGAGGTGGAAAGGAGCTCTAAAATTATTTCATCCTAGTATCAAGTACAACTCCTGTGTGAGGAGGCCTTGAGCCAAGGAGAACTTCCCAAAAGCCTTCACGTGTTTATAGGCTGATGGTGGAGATCAGGGACCCTCCTTCGCCAGTCCCACTTTAAGCTCAGCTGAACGGCCTCTTTCTTTCCAGGATACATTTCGTCCCCGCAGAAATTAGCTGCAAAGTCTTTCCCAAAGCACTAGTTCCCCAAGATACAAATACGTACCTCAAAATCCAACCTTCCCATATTTAAGATTTTAGAACGTCAGGCTTACCGTTCTGTGGCGAAGTAAAGAAAGCTGAAATCTAAATTGATCCTGATCCTTCGCAGACCTCCTGTTAAAAATCACTTTCGTTTTCAAAATTGCCCTTCCCTTCTTCCTTGTAGTTTATTGTGTGAGTCGCGATTTCTCTGCCGGGTCCTCAAGCAGCTGCTTCAAGCGAGGAAACATTTCAGGGCAGTTCTGTTATATCAAATAACAGGGCTGTGAAAGCCTTGAAGATGCTTTTCGTTCACAAAGGTTTAAGTGAAGGTATTCTGGAACCTGGCAGTTATTGGGTTAAAGGTTGGGTTTGTTAATAGGTCAATGGGAGGAGTTTCAAAAGGGCATTGGGTGACTTCCTGGACACAAGCTAGTTTGGAATGTCTTTTGTCTGAAAAGAAGCATGGCCCATCAGATGTCACCCGATGAGCCTGTACCGGTATAAAGACAGTATGAATAGAGCACCATTTTTTCTTACCAAGAGAAATGAACAAGAGACGTATTGTCAGAGACAACCGGCATGAATGCAAGTAATCTATCTGATTGAAATATATATTTTTTGTTATGAAATCATTTCTTTGTGTTATCTGTCTGACTTGATTTAAAGAAGACGTTTTTAACTCAGAGTCAGAATAGTAAGAAAAAATGCTCAAAGTTCATATCAACTTTATAAAGCAAACAGCAATTTGATGTGGTTAATTTTCCTCTGATCTGCAACAGACTAAAGGAAAGTAAAAGTTATAAAGTGCCTTGTGCTTGTTTGGATGCTTCTACTAAATTAGCCTTAGGATCTGTTTACAAGTCAACGTTTAAGTCAAAGAGATATTGTGCTGTCTATGTCAGGAAAAGCCACTTCAGCCACTTTCAAAACAATTGTTAATGTCGTTTGCATGTATCTCCTTTCAAGAGAAGAAAGCAGTTGTGTATTTCTACAGCTCTGCTCTTTCTGTGGCTTTTCACGTTTGAAAGGATCAAAGCAGTTGTGAGCAGCAACCCCCCTTCCCCCTTCCTTTGCTGGCAATTCGTCTTGAGACAATGAGGGGATGGTTTCAAAGTATTGTCTGTGAATTCAACTAGCTTGTTTGGAATGTCTGGGAATGCATGAAACTGAGCCTTTAAATGAACATAGCAGGATGGAAAGGGTTTCTTGCTAATTTTAGCAAATTTCTGTTGGCTTTGTTTGATGTTCGGAAAGGGTGATACTCTCCCTCTCTTCTGGCCCCAACACAAGCGATAAACCCATTTGTCGCCAGGGCAACCCACCTCTACAAAAGGAGAAGCTAAACTTCCCCCTACCTTTGGAATTTCAACCATCCCAATTGGGAAGCCGGTGTTCAGAGATCCCAATAGCAATGCAGTAGTGTCCCCTGGTGGCCAATTTGTTTCTTCCTTCAGCAATCTTCTAGCAATTAAATGTGGGATTACACCAATTTGAGAATTAATTCAGCACATAGCAGGCTTATACCAAGCCAACCGAGTTTTCCCATAGAGGAAAAACAACACTTCACTGCGCACACCTCTAACTACGCAGAGTGAATCTGATAGTTAAAGAGCAAAGTTATCTAAATTTATCTCAAGCTGAAGACCAAGTTGTTCCAGTTTGAGGGATTAAGGAGAAAGAAGCAGAGCTAATTGCCTTCGCTTTTTACCACAAGCTGACGACCAAGTGTTCCAGCCTGCAACTTATCGACCAGGTGGGAGTCTGTATCTCTACATTTCTCAGTGGTTACTAGCAGGAACGTGGTAATAGGAAGAATTTAGCTGACCTTTCTTCAGTCGCCCCCTAGTGGTTAAAGGAGCTACACGCAAACCTTTAATCACGCCCAGAGAAAGCCCTCTAGTAGATAGAAGGCGCACCTCAAAAGAAGAACACCCCGGTAACTGGTACGTAGAAAGTGACCCCTAGTGGTGAACAGGTGAATTACGCTGAAGTACCCATCCGGGAGACGGCCCGGATGGCTCCTGGGCGGCCCGGATGGCTTCTCCTCGTGGGGGAGGTGGCGGCCTGGGCGGCCCGGACGGCTTCTCCTGGGCGCCCGCTTTGACCGTGGAGACTTTTTCGGCGGCCCCTCTCAGCCCCTTCCGGACTCGGAGATGTCTTTGACGACCTGGAGGGCCTCCCTGACGATCTCTGGAGGCCCGCGTGGACTCGGTGGCCTCCTCGGTGGCTGCGGCGGCCTGGCCAAGAACTCTGTGGGTGGCTTCGATGGCCCCTCCAGGCGGCCCCTCGATGGCCCCTCCAGGCGGCCCCTCCGACGATGGTTTTCAGCCTCCCCGGCGGCCTGGGGCCTTCGGAGGGCTCTTCGGGCAGCCTCGACGGCCCCCCAGTGGTGGCAGCTCTGGTGGTCGCGATGGCCGAGCGGCTTGTTTGGTGGCCTATCTGAGGGCCTTTTTGGCCGTCCTGATTTCAATGGCTTGGAGGCCTTTTTTGGAGACCTTCCGGTGGTTTTAGAGCCTCCCCAGCAGCCTCGATGATCCCTGCGGCCTTTCCAGT